CGAGGAGGACATACATGAAGTAAGTTATGACAGCTTCAATTCTTTTTTCTCATAGCATCGGAATTTTGTTGGCCTATATATGGTCGGAGCTATTCACGAAAACCTTGGAAGAAATGTATGATGTTCAACGAGTTCCTAGAGCGAGCAGAATCCACTGGGCTACTCTTTCATGTGACGGGGAAAAATAGATGATTTACTGGCGCATGCTTGAGTCACACAGCGATCAACGGGACGACAGGGGATACAGATGACTCGTCCCCAACTCTTTGCGAAAGATTAGGTACACCGTACTTAAACTGATGCAGTCACTGCCTCTGTCGTTAGGGAATGTTATTTAACTTTGTATTGTGTTTAGACCGTCGTCGTATAGGCGGTAACGAACTAGAAGGAGTCGAAGAGTGTTCGTGGGTATTTCAATCGCTGTTACCGAATTCCCCAAATCGATCCTTCTTAAGAAGGTTCTGAAGAAGGCAAAATCCGTTGAAACGTCAGCTATTGTAAGTAAGTAGTGTAATCACAGCCTCGCTTTTGCTCATCAAGAAGAACAGTGCATTACTAGTCATTGTCGAGGTTAAAAGAAAGTCGGTCTTGGGTTTTGCGTCTTGTTTCGGCTGCTGTTTGAGGATTTCATCTTTTTCGTGAATGTCATAGAATGTTTGTATTATTACAGTCCTGGAGATAGCCGAGCCAAAGGATTTCGAACGACGACCTTACTTCCTGATGGAGTGCATCATCGTTAAGCATCGCACTACCACACTTAACGATGTGCTTCGATGGATAGTCAGCCAATCAAAGCATCCTGCGGAGCTTTAGTCGAGTAAAAGTGCATTCAATCGCCTCCAAACTCTGCTAAGTAGAAGTCGAATGCATGGTGCATTCCTAAGGGATTGATCAACGCCGAGAGCTTTTATCCTTTTATAGGTTAACTAAATCAAGATTATAAGGTTAAACTCAGTGACGCACCGTCTACGCACTACGCCGAAGTTCATTCAGACTCAAAACGGAAAGTTGATTAGAGAAGTTAATTCAGATTAACTAGAAAGTTGTAAACCCACTGTCCGATTTTTACTTTTGTAGCTGCAATTAGAAGGATACATCAAGAACGCATTAGTGTGGTACACAAAGGAAGACGACATAAGTTGAAGGGCGGCCTATTTAAATTCGAAAACACCTTCTGAACGGAAAACAGGTCGAAGCAATACAAAAACGAGCTAAACGACGGACGAGGAGGTAATTTCACCAAGCCCTCAAAGCTTAGGAAAGCGCTGCTGCAATTTGTGAAAATCATAGTGATGAATGGCAATAACCTTCGGTGCACTAGTAGCAAAGATACGACCTACTCTAATTCCTGGATTCCACGGAGAAGTGTGGGATTGGAGGACAAAAGAAAACAGCAAAAAAGAGAAAATACGATGCTATGAACAACCTAAGAAATGCTATAAACAAACGTCACTTAAGGAAAGCTAATAAACAGCCAAAGTGAACGGAACTGAACATGTTGAAAGTTCAGCCGTTCTTCAACTTTATGATGAAACTATCGTGAAATATTGGAGCTAGCGAACAGTAGAACAGATGAACGAATCTTACCTCGTGAAAGAACTCATCGAACACAATACCGAGCGTCACAAAGTAGTTATGCCATGAAATGAAACCACTGAACTAAGAAGAAATTCTGATAAATAGGCATGTCGAAAGAGTCATTGGGAAATAACCTTCGTAGGAAAAATAAGTTAGTCCATTTGGAGTGCGCGACATCTCAAGATGTCACAAAACGTACTCCCATGGCATAGCCAACGTACAGCAGCCATGCCATCCGACTGGCATGAGGGCCAACCGGTACGTGATGGATACCTACTTGGATATTTGGACGGTCCGTCTTTACAAGCTGTGTGGACCCCAGCTCATATGCCATTCATTCCTTTTTCTCGCAATCGTAGTCTATGGTGATGATCTTGCTCGAGCATGGTAGCAAGTGCGAGTCTCACACCGTTATCTGTAAAACAGCTGAAGCTGCAGGTACAGCTGATTAACTTTGTTTACGAACACGTCGGCCCAACGTGTAGATGGTCGTCCTAGGGGTCGTTTGCATTCTCTTGGAGTCCAGTTTCCTTCTACTGTTCTTTTCGTCCATCTGTTGTCTGTTCTTCTCATTATGTGGCCGGACCATCATTGTTTCGCTGTCGATGTATCCTGGATCCCGAAGATGTGACAGGTTTTGAAGGTCAGAGCTTCGCATTCCGGGTAGATATTGAGAACGTCGGTTATATTTCAGAAGACATCGCTCAAGCGCTCTGTGAGTAGTGCGAGGCATTCCTGACGTGGTTGAAGCATCAACCCACGTGTCTGCAGCATAACAGAGCACTGGGGGGACCGTATAATCAAAGAGGTGAGCGCGGATTTTCGGGTCGTTCAGTCGGTCGGTGGCCTCTTTGGGAGGCCCGAATGCGGCCCAAGCTTCTCCTTCTTCTATCTAGTTCCTCCTTCATATTGTTTTCCATCTTCACTAATCGCCCAAGGCAAACGTACGAGGTGGTCTCTGAAATTAGAAAGCCATCTAATTCAATTTTTTCGCCGTAGCACCATGGGTTTTTCACGAACAGGGTCATATTTCGATTTATGCGCAGTCCGATCTTTTTTCTCCGCTTCGTTGAGCTCGTTGATCATCACCTCTGCTTCGCTAGTACTTCTTGAGAAAATGACAATGTCGTCGGCAAAACGAAGGTTTGATAGGAATTTTCCATCAATACGTATGCCTTTCTCATCCCAATCGAGTGATTTCATTATCCACTGCAGTGCGGCACTGAACAGCTTTGGCGATATTGTGTCGCTCTGTCGAACCCCTCTTCCTATGGGTATTGTAAGAGATCGATGGAGAAGCCGTATTTCCTCAGTGCAGTTCCGATAACAGTTGGACAGAGTTCTTATGTAGGACAGGTCCACTCCTTGGTCGACGAACGCTGATAGGATTGCATTCGTATCGACACTGTTAACCGCTTTTTCGTAGTCGACAAAGGTTAGGACTAGAGGCAAGTGGTATTCCCGACAAACTTCGATGACCCTGGACACAGTTTGGTTGTGGTTTATACAGCAAAATACCTGCCAATATCCTGTTTGTTGCATTGATTGTGCCTCATCCAAATTCCTTGATATAAACAAAAGTATAATCTTAGTGAAGAGCTTGTAGACCACACTTAGGAGGCATATCGGTCGATAGTTACGAAGATCTTTTTGGTCTCCTTTCTTGGGCAGAATGACCGTGCGCGACGTCCTCCACTGGTCTGCAATTTTTTCCTTTTGAAGGTAGGCCCTCATATGATTTGCGAGGAGTACATGTGAATTGTGGCTTCCAGCTCTAAGGAAGTCGGCAGTAATATTATCGGGTTCTGGAGCTGTGCCTCTTTTCATGCTTTCTATGGCAACTTGAACCCCTGGCGGAAGAATTCCAGGTGGTTCTTCTCCAGCGGAGATATTAAGGTCCGGGACGGTGATTGTAGAACGGAAAAGGTTTGTGTAGAACGTTTCCGCTATTAATTCCATATAACGAAGGGAGGTTTTGACGATCCCATATTCGTTCATCAGGGCTGTCAGCGGAACATTATATTCACAAAAGTCCCGACGGCATTTTTTCAGACTGCTTCTTTTCTCTGCTGCCTCCAGTAGTTTCTTCTGTTTTACCGTTGTAGACCTTCCTGCAAAGCTCTTCTACAGGTGGCATTTATTACTAACCATGTTAAACGTGTTGCAGCAGGATCAAGCTTCAGTTTCCTTTTCTTTTCGAGCAACTTAGTAGTAATGGAAATGCAATCCAATCTTTTTTTTTGAGGAACTGAGGCGAATTCGACACAGTGTTTCAGTCCTTCAACAAGTAGCTCGTAGTCTTTGATCGGATCTTCTTTAACCTTCCAGTCACGTTCCTGTGTTCGCTCTCATTGGTCTTTCCTATTCTCGCGTTAAAGTGTTGAAGTCTCCGATAACAGATTTATAATATGTATTCTTTCTTTGATGAGCTTACACGAGGTTGATAATGATGTTTATTTTCGGCTAACGTTTCGACGTCTTCGTCTTCCTCAGAGCCGATGATCCGAGTCGATGGTCCTCGCTTGTTATTCGCCTCGACGTGGCAGCTTCGCCTTCGTGTCGAGTTAGGTCTTCTTCAGTAAGCCATCTCCATTATAGATTTATAATATGTTTTTTCATCGCTGGTGACTTCCTTCAACTAGTAGTAGAACGCAGCTAATTCGTAGTTAACAACTACTTCGATCGGTGAGTAGCAATTGATGATTATGATGTTCTTATGATGCGTCAGTTGAAGACGTAGGATGGCTATGCGACGGAGAAGGTTCTCGTGTGAGTCGACGAGATGGACAATGGACGGGTGGACGACAAAGCTTGCGCTACCGACATTTCTTCACGGGACTTTTTCTCCACGTATTGCAAGGGTCCCGCTGTTCAGTTGGCGTATGTCGGTCTTCTTGATTTTTGCCCATTATAGTGCGATCACATGGAATTTGATGCGATTTGCGGCTACAAGTAGGGCGTGAAGATCGGAGTCTGTGGAGAGGGTTCTGGCATTATGCGTGCAGAGTAAGAAACGTACGTGTGTTCGTCAAATCCGGTTCCAATGAAGTTCTCCGTAACTCGATATTTTGTGGCCTCTCACCGGTCGTCTCACCTCCTGACCTTATAGACGGGAGCACCCATTGTGCGAGTACTGAGGTTGGCTTATTGCTGGTTGTGCAACTTGATCCTCTCGGGAGTTTTGACTTAACCTTACAAGGACGTATCCAGGTCTTCACCACGATGTGAATCTGAGGGGGTGTATTTTCGGCGACGAATCTTTCGCTCGGTCTCCTTACTCAAACTTGGGTAAACTAAGGTAATACGTGATGAGCTGATGAAACCACTCATTCAGTGCCGGCAACTAAAAGGCGGTGAAGGGCTGGAAGATCATTGCTTACCTTGTACTGAATACTGCATAGTTTTTTACTCTACTGGATATCATGGATACCTTATACCTCTACTGGATATACCTTCTTATGTTAGTAGTTGCACCGCCCATTCCACTTGAATTGTTCTATTTTGGCAATCTCCTCCAGAAAAAACTGCAAAGAAAAACAAGCGAAACAAAAAGTAGGCATGTTGCAGGCGAAATACTGGATGAATCAAAAGAAAAACTGTGGAGCTGGGCGGATGACTCAGTGCAGAAAGTTATTCGTCGAGAAATTACCTACGTGACTCCTCGTCATCAACGAAAAGGCATCGCCGACTACCTGCTCCATCTCGGACTCAATTTTCAGGATTTAAAGGTATGTGTATATAAGGTATGTATATATATGTATATGGTATATATGTGCAGGAGTTCCTATAGTAATGAATGATGGTGGCGATACTTTTTGGAATTCTATTGAATACTTATGTGTTGTGAAACTAGCAATCGTATGAGCGGTTTTTTTCACCTGGCTCTCATTTTAAGACGATTTGATGCGTTTAAGTTGGAGTTTGTATTTAGAAAATTCGATTTCGTTTATCCTTTATGAGGTATAAGTTAGATAGCAGTTGTACAGGAGATTACACATGTTTGAATGCTGGTTTTCTGCAAATGATTGCACTTAAAGTACTTGAGGAATTGAGATATCAATAAACTTGTAAGGGAGGCATTTTCGAGAGGAGGCCCCATAGACTAGTGCAGTATTTACTCCACTAGGAGCGCTTAGGAAGGAGGCACATAACGCGAAAGATTTTGAAGTAGAAATGACCATACTAGTACAGAAATCTAAAACATCAGCGCATAAAACCTTTGAAGCATTCTGAAGAAATTCCAAAACCAAAAATGAATCTCAGCGATCAGTGCCTCGTTCTTACCCATAATCTCACACAATATCTCAGACTGATATCTTAATGTGAGAAGGACACACTACCCCATCCGTGTGAACCTTGTGCGGCTTGTCTCCCACAATGATAAAAATGAGTGGAGACAACTACAAAATCGTGGATATCTGACGAATCTATTTCGAAAACCTAGTTTCCCTTAACAATGGTTATGACTAGTCAACATTTATTCTTTCATTGATAAGCTCACGACGTTGTTCTTGCTTTCTAGGAGACAATACATGTGAGGAAACTCTGCTTTGTTTCCACTGCGATTGAAATCTAGGTTCTGTTGTTTTCTGCGAAATAGTGGAGGTATTTGCCTGACTAAATTGTAATCAACTCGTCCTTTCCCAGCCCTGAGGAGGGCGAAATCCACGAAACATGGCCTACTGCGAAGATAAGGTATAGTAGCATCCATATGTGTGCTTACAAGTAAAGCCGCGAAATTCCGATTGTTTAATTGTTTGAAAATAGGAGTTAAAGTGAAAAGTGTCAAGAAATGACATTTCGACGACCGGTTTTCATTTTCTGTTGGTTTCTTATCATCGCGAGCGTCGTTGTTATTGTAGGTGGTTCACGTCGGACATGCTAATCTTTGCAAGTATCGTTCTGTGATTTAGAAAGCTGGCAATATGGGTAGTTTTCCAAACGCTTCCACTTATGTTGTAGGTGACCGTCGTTGAGCTTTTGAAAGTCTGAATTGCATTTTTAAGCCGTGGGCTTGGTTATATTTTACAAGAGATTATACAGGACTTTGACTAGTGCGACAATAAGTTTTTCTGCTTTAAGATACTTGCATATGCAGTACGTACTTTTTGGTCGATTCTTCTTTACCTGTGAGTCATTAAGGCAAAGAGTTTAGCCCAGAATGTTCTCGCCATATATGAAAATTTTTTCTTTTTTTGCTAGGAGTTCTTTTCCAACGAATTGAACCTCTGCTGTCAGGATGATTCAATTCACTATAATGGGGAAATGGGTTTGCAAAGGATGCACGTCACTCGTCGATTCATAAATCCAACTACGGGGAGGAATTATGAAAAACGGTTTCAATTCCTACCTCTTTTTTCAGTTCTGTGTTCACTTCCGCTGTATGCCTTAGTCTGGCAGAGAACTCTAATACAGCTGGTTTACAAAGGGCTTTTGTGTTGCAAATTTGGTCCTATTTGTTACATGACAGGGCTGCTATGTAACAGTGGCACCGTTTCCGGTTTGATCCGGGGTTTGATGAAAATTATAGACAAGAAAATTAAACAAGGATCTTACACAAGATGACTAAACACGTAACAGGTCTACCATAAAACCTACACCACTGATATTTTGTGACAAAATCTTTCCTTCAAGAATGACAGTTAACTGATTATTTTATTGTTCTTGGTTGGTATTCTGGTTTTGGTCTCCATTGAGGAAAGCACATGAAATTTTACACGACACGCGGCTCAAGAGGCTCGCGACTATTAGCATGTAAGAAGACTGCTCTCCTTTTTTGGATATAGATCAACAAATAGCTTGCATGAAGTGTCGTGGAGGTAATATTTTTATCACCCACTTTCGTTAAGTTTCAGCATGGGTAGTAAATCCTATATGGCAAGTAGAAACAGCTGCTGTGGACACTCGACTCGAACTATCGCGGGTTTCGATACAGCCGAAACTTTAGGCGCAATGAAGAATTGTAACATGACGTTCTATACAACAATTTGAATGGTTGCAGACGACCCTTGTGTGCAGGGTGTCAAGACCAGTTCGTAGAAAGCTGGGGAATCAGTTATCTTCTTTGTGTGCCAAGGAATCTCTGCTAAGTGCTCCTAGGTCGTCATTCTTAATATTAGTCCAATTTTTGATCCGAAATGTTTGTTTGCTTTTCTACTTCCAAGAATTTGCTTATGGACAATTTATTTAATCTGTTCCATTTTTAGGGGCAAGGTTTTCATGGGATAACGTCCGAAGCGTCATCATTGGCGAATCAGAAGCTGCTCGCAAAACACGGCTATATTTGTATCGGTAAATCAGAGTACAACCTTCAAATGCATGATGGTAACGACGGTGTGAAAGTGTACTTTAAGGATTTGAGATATTAGATGCTCAAATTCAGCAGCAGTTATTCAGTTGCGTACGAAAATCGAGATGTAGTTGAACTACTATTTAGTTTATTGTGGAGACTAGTCTAGGTAATTCATGCGCAGACACCTAGGATTTTTCTTATCATTTCACGAACAGTAACTGGAATTTTCTCTCTTGGATCACGAATCCAGCAAAATATGTTTCTAAGGAAATGTGATTTTACTGAAGTCACAAGTTTTTCCTTAGTTCAGGGACATTCTGGTTATTTCTTCTTAACGATAGAAACGTACTAATACTTTCTGGAATGTTTGTCATCAGGTCCATTATTACATGGAACCACCATTTATTCAAAATGTGGCAATCATGTCCTGTTTTCTGGAAAAAAAATCCCACATTTCGTTGTACTTATGCATCACTGTACAGATTCGTATAATATTGCATTGTAGTTCCAAAGAGCACTAAAATCGGACCAATCTGTTAAGGATTTTTCAATAAAACTAAACTGCCACACAAGTGGCTTGGAGATGGGGAAGCGAAATATTTTTAGATGTCTCTGAAAAATATCCTACGCGTCACAATTCTTAATTACAGCGTTTAACAAAATTGTTTGGCTCAGTAGTTTGTGTTCGGAATTTCGTACGGAAGATATTCTTATATCTACTAGCTTGTGCTTCACGAACTCAAATCACATAGATTTTACTCAGAGATGACCTTTTTACATACCAGCAATATTACATTGTCAAATATGTGGAAGAAATCTGCAAACCGACCATCATTTAATCTCGGTAGTAAAATGATCAACATGCTTTTGAATTGCTGAGCTTACAAGAGGTTGATGAACATGTTTACTTTAGCTAACGCTTCCACGTCTTCTTCTTCATCAGAGCCGGTCATCCGAGTACGTGATCCATAACGATAACGAACAACTGTGGACCACCGAATCCGCTCTGACGAAGACGAAGACGTCGAAACGTCAGTCGAAATAAACATCTTTATCAGCCTCGTATTACCTCAACAATTCAAAAGCATGTTGATTATGTGAAACTAACTTCCATTTTGCTTGCAAACTATATAACTGTTGCTGGTTCAGTCTACTAAATTGTCCTCGAAAGGTCCGCCGAACGACTAGCTGAAGGATTCCCTGCCGTCATTGAACTCGCTGTCGCCCTGGAAGATTCTAAATCACAATTCAGTAATTTTCCACTCGAACCACATGGTTTGGTGATTATTTGCGGTGAAGATGTGGGAAAGCATAGCACGACTGTCTTAGGATTCCAGAGCGAATCACGCCCGGGCAGCACTTAAAGTAGGAGGAAATAGTACATCTTCAGGTCGCAACCGAACCAATGCACAAACTTGACTCTTTTCATGAATAATAATTAACAACAAAAAGAATGAGAGAAATGCTGCGACACTCATGACATGAAGTCGTCTCACATGTAGTTCCAAGTTTTCCGCACATCTCAGCAGCCTTACGGTTGTATTTCACATATTACACTTCCATGAAAAAAGAATAGGCAGTAAAGAAAGGTTAAGCAGAGTCATGTAGAAATGTCGACGGCCCTGAATGGAGATCTTGCAGGATGCAGGATGTGTGCGGACGGCACTAGCGTTAAACTTACGATAAGCAAATGTTGGGCTTGCTATGATATTTGATGATACTACTCATGGCTTTTCCTTGCATTCGATGGTGACGTGGTGGCCGAAAGGCTACTGAGTGTCCTGAATATTTGTGTATTACAGATTATTGAAACAAAGTTGGAATAAGTTCTTTCTGTGAAGCTCCGTAAAAGGCAGAAATTCATCGAATCAGATTTTGTTGAAACAGCTATGAAATAATAGGATGGAGCTTCCGGTATTGATCAATCCCTTTAGATGTGTTGTGCATTCGACTAAATTAGGAGCACCGCAGAGATTACTGTATGCAAATCTGGTCTAAACAACGACTTGTGCTGGTTTACCGATATGTCAAATCGGCGATTCAGTCCCCTCAGACTAGAACAATCTGCAGACCTCTGCCGGGTATAACGATTGATGAGTGCAGGACGCAGGATCGAACCAGAGACCGATCCAGCGTGTATTGCAGGATATCTCTAACCACTGGTCAACAAGCGCCGCTGCAAAGAGCTCCCAGAAATAAGTTTGAACTTCTTCAGAACACTGATTTCAATATGAAATGATATTTCGGGTAATACACCGGTTGTACTGGTTCAATTCCATTATAGTCAAACCAAGTCCAATCCTTAAGAGTCAGAAAAGTGTTAGAATACTTCCGGGAAAAGCTCGTTCTGAACAGAAGCCGAGAAACGCCTACTGAAATATATATTTCATGGTTTCTCTGTTGAGGTTATGTAAGTATCCGGCTGACTAGGATGCACTCGAGTTGGCCTTTCCAGGCTCTGAAGAAGCAGAAACCAGTCGAAACGTCATTTATTGCAAACAAATAGTACAATAACAACCACGTGGGTACGCACCCAGAAGACAGTGTATTGTTTATCAAGACCGAGGTAAATACAAAGTCAGTCTCAGGAAATTCCGCTAGAATGAACAACGCCAACAGAAATGCAAAGGAGGGGCCTCGGTAGTGCAGTGGATAAAACGTGAGTCCCATCTAGAGTAAACACAAGTTCGAAACCGAGCAGAGGTTTTGCCCATGTCTCAGCATCCTCGTGGCTGTTTCCACATAGTAGTCTGCCAAGGAAAAAGACTGCAGTAATGCAACCACAATTATGCTGAGATATATGCAAAATTCAAGACCACAGGTGTCTGCGGTGGGGAACGAATGCGCTATTACACTTTCCGGGGCAAACGCGTTCACCACCACACCATGCGCGTCCTTCGTTTCGCCTGTTTCTGAGCTTCTATCGATCAGTGCCACGAAGAATCACCCGTCAGCGGGATTGATCTGGGGAGCCCAAATCGGCAACGAACCCAGTTAACTTGAGGCTGTAGTCGAAGACACAGTGTTAACTTTTCATTTACTGCCTATTGTTTCGTTTTCTTTTTCAGCAATCGCGAGGTTGTTATTCAGCACACGTTTACTTCCTTACAAGACGAACACGTACAACACAACGGTAGGTGACCTATCGGCAGAATCGCCTTCTTCAGAGTCTGGAAGGGTACACTAATACGCAACTCACTAGGTCAAACGCTTCGACAGCTCAAACGGAAAGATGAAAATCTGAACGATAATTACAAGATCTACGGCTTTTCGAAAAACCCACCGCTTTTTTCACCTGTCTTCCACCAAGGAAGAACAGCCACTCAGAGTCGCATATGGTTGACGACTGCACCACCCCACATCAACGGTCGATGCGAAGGTAAGGGGTGAGATGACGTGTGATCTCGGGACATTCTTCCCTGCTGTTCATTGTAGGAATTTTGGTATTCATCCAAAGAGTCTCAAGGTGTTTGTGTTTTGGTGTTTTAGAATCCCGAAAACATGATCATCTTCAAGAATAGAAGCGCTCGTAATTCTTAGTTGACGAACGAAGGTACTGAGTCGTTTCAGTAATATTTCTTAAGCATTTCTAGCATTAACATCAAAGTGCTATATTTCATTGTCATAGTAAAATTTATTAACACATAAAGTTCCATACACACGAGAGTGACACACGATCGGTGTGTAATCGGATGGTAAAGTAAGGAAAAGAATCTAAGTGTATCAACTTGTTATTTAACGCCTATTATTTTTTTCAGAACAGGATATTATGCAAGATAAAGTCAATGATGCTGAGATATTTGCAAAACTCCAGACCGTCGGTGTGTGCGGTGGGGAACGAACGCGCTATTACCCTTTTCGGGAGCTAACGCGTTTACCACCACACCATGCGGGTCCTTCTTTTTGCCTGTCCCTCAACTGTTTTACTGACTTATTAGTGCCATAGGCAATCACCCCAACAGGATTAATCTGGGAGGCACATATCGGCATTGAACCCACTTAAGCTGAAGCTCTGGTATAAATCACTATATAGTACTTTTTTATTTATTGCCTGTTCCTTTTTAATGGCAGGGTATAAAATGGATAAAGGATAAAGCTCTCGGCGTTGATCAATCCCTGAGGAATGCGCCATGCATTCGACTTCATTAAGTATCGTTGGAGGTGATTCAATGCATATCTGGCCTTTACAATGACGCGCGGTGTCCTAGCGATGTATCCAGCCAGCGCTGCTATTCTTCGAGACAAGGCTGGTATCAATTTTCTGACCCCTGATTGGATGGAAGGCTTGGTGGGCCATGGACGTGGAGATCGATTCCACGTGTGTGTTGCAGGGCGCCTCCGACCACTGCGCCACATGCCCACAAGAATTATTAGTCTCACTAATTTAAACAGTTTTGAAATGGAAAAATCTGTCAATGAACTCTCACTTCTATCTCATCTTTTATAAAGGACTGATGTGCTTAAACACTTTAATGGTATTCCCGTTAATTTGTACCTAGCACAATAGAATACATACCTTCCTTACAAATATAAGACATACAACACAGCGGTAGCTGACGTTTCGGCAGTATCGCCCTCTTCAGAGTCTGGAAAGGTACACTAATATGTAATTGCAAAACAAGGCACGCATAGGAGCAGTCTTAGAGACGAGTGTCTGCCTTCCAAGCTACCAGTGCCCCAACTCCATAGTCCGCTTAGCTTCCTTCAAGTGTAGTTGTTTCCGTTTCAATCTAGCTCGTATCCACCCAGCTTACGTATCGTCAAATATCACACATTATTATTGTATCGTTATTGTTGCTATAAACTGTTATATCCAAACTCGAGGTTGTTCAAGGTAGTTACGGAGAAAAGTCCCGCGTGGCGAATTCATACAAAGTCGAGCATTCTACGTACAGTTGGCGGACAAAAGACCAATCCGACAAACTCCCTAATCCACTGGCCAACTAACACACCTTATGAATGCGTCATTTTCTTGTCCAACAATCGCTGTTATACAGCATACATTTACTTCCATAGAAAATCACAGTACAATACAACAACTAACGTTTCGGCAGAATCGTCTTCTTCAGAGCCGCT